TGATCATAAATTTGCTCATCACTATATTCCAAGCACCTTGTATCCTCATATTACTACAAAATATATTAAAAATGATGTCATAAGCAACTAAAAATGATAAAATTTAAATTGAGTTAAATTTCATACCTTAAATGGGATAGAAGTTTGACCATGAATGATCAATCTTTCATGAATTTCATAATATAATAACCACAATCATTGTTATTTGGTTGGAAAGGGCACTAAAAAATTCACCAAAATATAATGTAAATTTATGAACAAAATTGAAGAATGGTCTAATTTAATAATTTATACCATAATTTTGTCCATTGATAACTTTTAGAGAATTCTTTACTTCTGAAAAAGGAGAGCTCTTTGTGACTTTGAAAATGTTCAATGCCCTAATAAAATAAAAAAAAATTAATCAATACCAATTGATGCAAATGTATATAAAAATGTGTAAAATAATTCTTATAAGTATAAATACTTACTTATTAAATAACCTTAACATATTAAGCTGATCTGTTGGCATACCTTTAGATAGAGGATCTAAATAATAAATTAAAGGCAAAGGAACAGCCACAAGATTGATAAGAATCAAAATTCAATGTTTTGTAAAAATTTTAAACTTTTGTTATGTCTTAATAAACTTGAGGTATCATACACAAAAGAAAAAAATAATCAATAAACTACTTACCCTGCATTATAAGGAATTAAAATAACATATGTTTTTCAACTTCTGCCTTCTCTATGAACATTTCTTTTATAAGATTTACTTGCTCATATGGACCCAATGTCGATCCATCACTAATATCATAAGGACTAATAAATGCAAATCTATTCATTTTCTTCGTGTCTTTCAGAAAAGAAATGTACAAATACTTTAATAAATACCAAAAACTTGTATTAAAACAATCATAACAAATGATAAAAAAATCAATATCAAAGGATATTGTAAAACAAATAAATATTAATATTTAAAATATCAAATATAAATTATTAATATTTTAGTAAGACATTATTAAAAAATATATATTTTTGAATTCTTTATCAGTATTGGTGTCAATAATGGTGATTCAATAATCACTAAATAGCTAGTTAAGTGATTGGTCAAAATTGAATTTTAATATTTCACATGTAACAAAAATAACATTTATCTTTAGGCATTTATTTTAATTCAAGAACTTAATCTATATTCTTTTCATATGGTACTTATTTATAATTTTTGGTTCTTTTACATAATTTTTTTTTTTGTAATTGTCTACTCAAGTTATAGTGAACATTAATTTTTCTTAATTGTAGGGGTAACAATGGCTTTCAAATGTTGAAGGAAAATATTGTATGATTTTTTTTTTTCAAAGCCTTAGACACTTCTAAACCTATAATTTTAGGCCAAAATTTCCTTTTAACTTTAAATTCAAAAATACAATATTTAGTCATTTGACTATTTCAGAGAGATGAAGAAAGTAATTG